ATACCAAAGTGGCATATTTTGGAGTAGCATATTCTGCCCCCCATTAAGTGTGGAGTTGGGACCTTTCAAGTTTTTTTACATATTGATTATTCATCCAAGTGCTGACAACATAGAGAACCCTCCGAGCTGTTCCTACACCAGGACAGAAGGCACTCGCTTGTCTAGGCACAGAAGTGACTGAATCCTAAGTGTTTCCCACTGAACCCAAATCAAATGTAACCTCAGTTGAAGTTCTGCTTAGCAAACTGGGGAATTGCCTTTGGACCATCCATCACATAGTGACATGAGGGGAAGTTACAAGGGAAGTCCAAGCAGGAGGATCGCAAGTTCGAGGCTACCCAGGGCAACTTAGCAAGACCCTGCCTCAAAAACATGAAAAGGTCTGGGGATGTAGCTCAGTGGTAGAGCATCCCTGGGTTCGATCCACAGTACTGGGGAGGTGGGGAGGTCACAACAGAATTAAGGATTGCACTTAAAAAAATACTCCACTCTTGGAAATCTTAAAAAGCACATGCCGGCGTGAAGACATTGCTAGGGCACGTGCTGGGCTCAGAGCTGGGTTAGCTCCCTGGTGTTCCTGCTCTGTGCTCCTTTATTTTAAAGGAGGCCTCTGCTCATATGCCCATTGCCTGGGGTCATAAGAAGACAGAGGAAGCCCCTGGCAGGAGCCTGTGATGGAAGAAGTCCAGATGTCTAGGCAGCCAGTCTGCCCTCCTGGGTGCCTGTCCCTTCGTTCTTTCTGCTCAGACCGTCATGTGGCCCCTGGTGCAGGGCATCTGGGAAAGTGAACTTTTTACTTTTTTCTGGTTCTGAGGATTGAACCCAGGGAATAGGCCACACTGAGCCATGTTCCCAACCCTTTTACTTTTTATTTTGAGACAGAGCCTTACCATATTACTGAGGCTGGACTCAGTAACTTGGAATCCTCCTGCCTTGGCCTCTTGAATAGCTGGAATTATGAGCATGCACCACTGCACCTGGCAAAAATGAAGATTTTTAAGTAGACACTTGCTGTGCCAATAAAATTAGAGTTCTTTGGTCAGGATGGAGAGAATGCATGTTGAATAGACAGCAAACAGCATCCGCTCCTATTCCAGGTTATTTTCTGTGAGTGTAAAGATAGGTGAAATAGAGTACCTGCATTACAAAGATGCATGCTTTATGACATAATTCAGGTGATTCACAAATATTCAAAACTAACAAATGGGAAATTCGATTTTTTTTTAATCTAAGTGGATATGTGTTCACCAACTTTTACTACTGAACAAATTACATTCATCTCAGTCACATACTGCACTATTATGGGTAAATAATTTGCATTTTGCTATAGCAGAACCCTTTTTCAAATGATCTCTCCACAGTAGCCCAGGTGGGAGCCTGTTCCTCCAGATGGGTGGGTGTGGATGCCACGACTCTGACCCCTCTTCCAAGACCCAGATGTGTTTCTGTCTGGAGAGCTTTTCCTCAGACAGTTGCGACAGGAGCTGCTTCCTGCCCAGAAAGTCTCCTTTGCAATTGAGGGAGCAAGGGTGGACAGAGGGCTTGGCTGTATTGCCCCATGCACAAGGTGCTAGGATGACTGCCAGAGGCCTGGGCCTGTCCTCAGGCATCCCGTTCACTGGGGAGGAAGGTCAGACCCAGGCCTTGCAGTCTTCTCTGTTTGTTCTTTTTAGTTATTCATGACAGCAGAATGTATTTTGACATGACGTGTATACATATACTTGGAGTGTAACTTCCCGTGTTTGTGGTTGTGCATGATGTGGAGTTACACTGGCCCTGTGTGCATATATGAACACAGGAAAGTTACGTCTGACTCAGTCCACTCTCTTTCCCATTCCCATCTCCCCTCCCTTCCCCCAACTCCCCCTTGTCCAATCCCTTGAACCCCTCCCCCAGCCTATTAGGAGTCAGCGTCTGCATATCAGAACATTCGGCCTTGGTTTTTTGGGGAAATTGGCTTATTTCCTTTAGCATGATAGTCTCTAGTTCCGTCCATTTACCTGCAAATGCCATGATTTCACTCTTCTTTGTGCTGAGTACTATTCCATTATGTGGGGTACTCCGTTTTCTTTATCCACTCCTCTGTTGAAGGGCACCTCGTTGGCTCCATAGTTTGGCTGTTGTGAATTGAGCTGCTGTAAACACTGAGGTGGACATGTCACATAGTGTGCTGATTGGAAGTCCTTTGGGTATAAACCGAGGAGTGGGGTAGCCGGGTCAGACGGAGGTACTGCTCCAGGCTTTCCCGCCACGCAGGTTTAAGGAGGTGAGGTGGCAGTCTGCAGACAGCTGAATACTCGCAAATCTGAGTGACCCCAGCCCTCCTGCCACCGTTTCCCCTCCTCCCTGCACTCAGGCCCAGGAAGCGGGACTGACTGGTGCAGGGAGAGGGAAAGAGAAGAGGTGCAAGTAGCCTAAGGTGGCCTTGAAGTTGGGCCTGAGGAGCCGAGCTGAGGGCAGGCACAGAGATGCCTGGGTGCGGGGGGAGGGAGCCCGCGGGGAGCCGATGGTCAGTCAGGTGCTTGGGTGGACACCCCTGCTTCTGGAGACTTCCAGGCACAATGGGAGGGAGCTGCTCTTGAGGTCCTTCTGCGGAGCTTGGTTGTGCCCCATGTCCCCCAGAGTGGCAGCCTCCGCCTTCTCTGCTTGTCTTCTGCCCCTCCCACTCCCTTGCCCTCCACCCTGCCTGCTGGGGGCCATCCAGCTCAGAGGAGACCCAGGGTCCCCAGGCCCCACCCTCTTTTCTTCTTCTCTTTTCTGTCTGGTCAGCCTTTTCACTGCTGTGAGGAAAAGACCCACCAGGACAATCGTAGAGGAAAAGTTTGTTTGGGGGCTCAGGGTTTCAGAGGTCTCAGTTCATAGACAGCAGGCTCCATTCCTCAGGGCCCGAGGTGAGGCAGGACATCATGGCGGAGAGTGTGGCAGAGGGAGAGTGTGGCAGAGGGAGACTAAGCTCAGCTCACCACATATATACCCCCAAGGCAGCCCAGTGACCCACCTCCTCCAGCCACACCCTGCCCATCCCCAGCCCCCACCTAGTTAATCCCATCGGGGACTAATTCATTGGTTGGGTTAAGGCTCTCTTAATGTAATTATTTCTCCCCAAACCTTCTTGCATTGTCTCACACTTGAGCTTTTGGGGGGCACCTCATATCCAAACCATAGCACCCTGCCTTAAGTGCTAGATAAGCCCAAGGAACTTTTCAGCAAAAATCAAGACATCAGGGGCTCGGGATGTGGCTCAAGCAGTAGCGCGCTCGCCTGGCATGTGTGCGGCCTGGGTTCTATCCTCAGCACCACATACATACAAAGATGTTGTGTCCACCAAAAAAAAAAAAAAAAAAAAAAAACTGAAAAATAAATATTAAAAAAAATTTTCAAAAAAAAATCAAGACATCAAAGGTATAAATCCAATTTTAAAAACATTTTTTGGCCTTCTGGCTTTTTTTGTTTATTTGTGATTTTTTTTTAAACAGTAATAAATGTGCCTGGTGTGGTGGCACCTACCTGTAATCCCAGCAGCTCAGGAGGCTGAGGCAGGAGGATCACAAGTTCAAAGTCAGCCTCAGCAACTTGGTGATCCCCAAGCAACTCAGCAACACCTTGTCTCTAAATAAAATATAAAAAAATGGCTGAGGATGAGGCTCAGTGGTTAAGCATACCTGGGTTCAATCCCTGGTTCAAAAAAAAAATTAAAAAAGAAATAGGACTAGAATCACTGGATATTAGGAAAGCAGCCAGACAGGTCCTGCCCACCCCTCACCCCATATCCCCCTGTGGTTGCGTCTCATGTCATTTATAGCACAAGATCAACCCAGGAAGTTGACATGGGTTCAATCCACAGTTTATCTGGACTTCATCAGTTTTACTGTAATTTCTTCTTTAAACATTTTTTCTTAATTATTAACATAATTGTAACATTATTACACAAAACTCAGAACATAAAAAAGAAAAACTGTTCCTGTCCCACTCTCCTGTAGAGCTGCTTTGGTCACTTTACAACTTGTTTCCTTCCTACCTTTTTGTGTACTTTAAGCATAATTGATAGTATTATTTATATACATAGTTATCACCTGATTCTTATTTAATAGTTAAGTGAACATTTTTCTTTATAACCTGTTCTTTATCAGTGTAAATGGCCATATGTCAAATGAATATGCCATATTTTACTTAATTATTGCCCTTTTATTAGATCATTCTAGTTGTACTCCAATAATTTTAAAATGAAAAATTATGTTTATTTAATATTTTCCATATTTTGAACTCTTTCACAAGAATCTACACCCAAAGATAGGAACATTTTTATGACTCTTGATATCAAATGCCAATTGCTTTCCAAAAGAGCTGTCTCAAAATTGCAGTGGTCTGGTGTTGCAAATTACATTTCCAGGCGGTGGCTGGGTTATCTGTCATTCACACACAGAGTTGAAGGGTGATATCTTTTTGGTCAAGCTGTGGTTTCTAATTATTCCTAAAGTTGGACATTATTTGATTTTACTGGTGATTTTCCTATTTTATGACTCAGCTGTGTGAATTCTTTGCCCAATTGTTTAGTGTTTACTAATTTGTAGGAGTTCCTTACATAATGAAGATGTTAACCTATTTGTTAGTGAATTTGCTGCAAATATTTCTCTGGGTTGCTCGTTCGCCTATTGACTGGCTCATTTTTAATATACTACACACATGGATAAGTTAATTTTTTGTGAAGTCAAATCTCGCCTTTCTTCTCACTTTCCGAAGACCATTACTTTGCAGAGATGTGATAAATTGCTGTAGTCAACTGTTTTCTTCCTCTTCCTATGTTTGGATTTTTTAAAAACATTATTCTGCTGAGTGCTATCGTATGCAAACCTAAAAGGACTTTTCCCAAAAATTTTCCGATTACCTGAGTAACCTGTGACCTGATTACTGGAGATTGACTGATTCCATGTGGTGAGTTCTGCTTCAGGTCAGCGCTCAAGGAGTGCTGTCTCCAGCCATGTTTCCTCTTCTTCCACCAGATCATGACCAACACCGGAAAGGCACGGCGGAGGGGGCTGGCCAGCGTGCAGTGGAGTGGGGATGAGCCCCTGCGCCGGCCTGTCACCCCCAGTGGCCACAGGACCGGGTGCCCAGTGTAAGTCCAGGCTAAAGGAGGCGGGAGTTTATTTTCTTAAGCTTCACTTTGATTAACTGACGTATAAGATGTGTATATTTAAAAATGCAAAATAAAGCATTCATACTGGAAATCCTTTATCTCTTTATCATTTATCTTGTGAGGGGTTTTGGAAAGAAAGAGGTTGAGACCCCCTCCTCCCTACACCCAGGTTTCTCCCTCCAGAAAGAGAAGTGGGGGACTGGTTATAGGATCTCCAGGGCCACTTCTGAAGATGAGTGTTGGCCAGGGTCATTTCAGAGGGCAGAGCCAGAAGGAATGTGGGGCCACGTGGACAGGCTTATGGTGTTGTTTTTGTGGCCTCTGTCACAGTTGAGGACTCCAGGTCTATCTAAGATGACCTTGTTCAAGCAGCGGTATGGACTGGGCAGAGCTCAGTGGCAGAGGTGCCAGGCACTCGTGAGGCCCGAGCTCCATCCCCAGCCCAGAAAAAAACCAGTGGAGCAGGAACTGCCGGAGTCCCTCCCTGGACAGAAATAAAATGTCGGGCTCCTCCTCAGAGCCAGCGGCCTCCCTGGAAGGCCTGGGGCCCCTCCCCTGAGGCTTTCGGGGAGCCCCGAGATGGGCAGTTCAGTGGGCAGGACACAGTCCCCTTCTGTGGGGGGCGGTCTCTTTCCCTGTCTAGAGAATACTGCAGAGGAACACATGGAGGGGGCTGAGGGTTCAGAGAGCCAGCAAACCTCCTGTGTCCATCGCCTTACTGTGGCCATGGCCTTACGGTGGCCATGGTCTAACGGTGGCCGTCGTAACTGTGCCACGTTTCACCCAGCTGCCCCACGGCTGGGAAGTTCCACTCTTTCCAGTGGTAGTCCTTGGTAATTGTATAAGAAGCAGTCAGCCACTGGGGATGTAGCAACAAATAAAATGTGGAAATGCCTGCCCTGGTGAGCTCTTTGCCACAGCTACTGGGGACACTGGTGTCCCCAGCACCAGCTCTTGCCAAGTTCTGTTGCCCATCTGGGGTTTGCCCTGTAAATATGTCAAAGCCTATGCCAAACCAGTACTCTGAGATCTGTCTGATTAGATTTCAAAATTAGTCACCATGTGCTTCTATTTCTAGGTTTTTATTTTTGATTACTGATATGCAGACTTGTATTGTGCCCTTTTCTCTCTCCAACATATAACCAGTATTTTTTAACCTATAGACAAGTTTGAAAGAATATTACGGTGAAGAACTTTCAGTTCATAATTGCTGGCTCCCTCGCTTGTTTTCTCTGTGTGTGATACATAATTTACACGCTTATACTTTTTTTATATTTTTTTTTTTGCCAAACTATTTGGAAGAAGGTTGCAGACTTTCAATGTGCTTCTTTATCCTTAGAATGAGGTGATCTGCCAACTTCCCTGTTGGGCTTATTTCACTGTCTGCATGTATTGAAATGTAGCTTGTGCCCTGTAAATATGTGGAATTACTAAGTGTCGATTTTAGCCTATGAGCAATGTGCTTCCCCACGGAGCATTGCCCATGGAGGTGTTTGGCTGGGGTGTACCTGCCCAGTCATGAGAGCACCTTCTAATCAATGGCCCTGCCTGTAACTAAGTCGTGGCGATCCCCAGCTACCTCCATCTGGTTGATTCCACAGACATCTTCGTCACCTCTGGTGGACGGGGTGCTCAGTACTGGAGACCCAAAGACAAATGAGATGGGATTTCTGCCCTCAGAGGCACACACGGCACACCTCCTGGTAAGGAAGGAGATGGAGAGTCTAGTCTGTGGGAGACCCAGGAGGGCCTCAGAGTGCTGGGGCCAGGATTCTTAGCTTCTCCGTGTCTCGAACTCACCTCCAGGAAGTCTGTGTGAGGGTCCAACCAGCACCCCCAGGTAACTCAATGTTGCCAAGAGTGGGGGTAGATCTGGAATCTTCGTTCTGATAATATCAAGACACTAGTGCTTTAGAAATCACTAATTCCACTTCTCTAATTAGATGCTGAGAAGTAATCAGATGTTCATAAGTAAAAACAATGATATTTATTGAAGTATGACTTAGAAAATCAGAAATAATCTACACACCAAAAGAGGAGGCTGATTATGCAAATTATTTCCAGACAAGACAGTATTAGAAATGAAGAGACTCACAATATGTTGCTGAGTGGAAAAGGTGGGAAATAGTCATGCGGGCCATTTGTAGTGATCCCGGCTTAGTATTCTGTATGTATTTGTTTTGTTTTGTTTTGTTTCAGTACTGAGAATGGAGCTCAGGGCCTCACACATGCTAGGCAAGCACTCTACCACTGAGCCACATCCCCTGCCCTTTCTAAATCTTATTTTGAGTCAGCGTCTCACTAAGTTTCCCAAGCTGGCCTGGAACTTGGGATCCTCCTGCCTCAGCCTCCTGAGTGCCTGGGATTACAGTCATGCACCGTGGCTCCCAACTTAGTTGCATTTCTTTAAGAAGATTGACTGTATACCAAATGTTAAGCGGTGTGTTTAGGCGTGGGGACGCCAGGGCATTCTGCACGTTACACCTGCTGATCTGATGGTTCCTGATGAGCACTTCTTATCAAGAGCAGAGGTTGTAAGTAAACGCTGGCACTTTGGCCCACGCTGTGCTGGCTCTCTGCCTCCCTCAGCCCGGCCTCAGCCTGGCCTCCTGGTGCTGGAGCACCCCAGCAGGCCTAACCCCCCAACGCCTCTTTGGCTCTACCTCCTGCTCCCTCCTACTTGTTGCTTAGACCTGTCAACGTGCTTCAGTGGCCACTTCCCTCACCCTCAGGCCTTCTCTGGTTCGTCCTGACCCTTCCCTGTTCACAGCCCTGGGAGGTGGGACAGTGACGTCTGCAAGGAATTGCCGCCAGGTGACCCAACAGTCCCTCACCTGAGGATCCTCCGGGCCCCATGTGCTCTCACAGTGGCCACTGTCCCCTGCCCTGCGGGCTGGCCCTCTGCCTCTCACCCCCTCCTCCCGAGGCCTTCATTCCCTCCTGCCTGTTCCCGAATACCCACCACACACCGATGGCGCCCAGATCCAGCCTGGACTTGCTATTTGTGTCCCCAGCACGCCCATTCAGCATTTCCTGGAGCAACATGGCCATCTCTGCGCCCCCTGCCTCAGGGAATGGCGTGGACCCGGGGACAGTGCAGCTGAGGCCTGGCCCTTCGCTCCAGCCTGCTCTCTGCCCCACACTGGCCTCCCCCTGAGCCATAGTTCTCCCCCCAGCCCCAGGGGCTCCAGGCACTTCTCCCAGGACCGTGACCAGGGGTGGCCTTATAGGTGCTGAGGACCAAGTCTGCCTGTCCTGGCCGGGGCTGCAGGGTCTTCTCCACCACCACCCCAGCCTCGAAGCTCCCCAGGGGACCCCTCACCCCACTGCCATCTTATAAGGCCTTTTGGGGGGAGAGGCAGCCAACCTTTTTCTTGTGGTGCCTTAAATCTTTCTGTGACAAGGCAGCAGGTCACCTTGCTCAGTGCTCCCCCTGCCAGATGACGTTCCCCTTATGGACCCCAGGAACCCCCAGTTCTGAGTTGGACACAGCAGAGCAGCCCTCCCCACCCCTTGGGCTGCTGCTGTGTCTCCTTGTGTCGCTCTCGGGTCTAGCCTGAAAGACTGGACATCTAAGAAAGCCACTCCAGAGTCCAGCCCTGGGCAGGCACAGGCTTGTCACCAAGTGTCCCCACCAGGCCCTTGTGGAGTGGTGGCTGCAGTCTCCTCCTTGGTGGAGCACGTGCTCTGTTACTGAGGCACATGGAGAGCCCTCTCTGGGCCCGTGGAGGACCACCAGGAGCCTGCCCTCTGAGAGCTCACTCCAGCCTGCGCCTCTTACTGACTGGGCCTGGCACAGTGAGGTGCCCGTCTCGCACGTCTGGCGGAGCAGACAGCCATCTCCCCCGCTCTGGGTGCAGACGGCAGCTCAGGGGCCACCCTGCCTCGTCCTTCAGGTGGTGGTGGAAGGAAGCAGGCTGTCCCCGGTTCTGCTCTTGCCTGCCGCTGCTCTCGGCTGACGTGACGGCGGTCATGGCTTCTCTAATTGGGTTCATTCTTTCCTGCATCTGCTGCGTCCTTGGAGAAGAAACAGATTTGTGCCTTAAGCTCTTTGGTTGAACTGTCACGGGCCTGGGTCACCCAAAGCCATAAGACATATTTACGTGTTAGAAATGTACCACACCTTGTAGCACTAGCAACTCCCAGCAGGGCCAACAGGAGCGAGGTAAGGTCACTCTGCACAGGACTTCCTGGTTTCCGCCATCACCCTCAGAAGGGTTTTAAAAATATCAATGTAACAAAAGAATTTCAGGCCTGGCCACCACCTGGATTATGTTTATGATGCTACGGGTGGCCAGCAGCCAGTGCCCCCCAGCTATCTGTATTTATTGCTTTTATTCATGTTTTTCTGCAGGATGGAAGAGCATCTGGTTTCTCCGCAGAGTGGCCAACAGGCCAGAAATGGCAGCCTGCAGGCCCTGTTCACCGCTCACCTGGCCATCTGCAAGGAGGCCAAGCCTGATGTCCCTGAGTGCCACACAACTTCTTCATGTAAGAACACCGCTGTTCTGGGCCTGGTGACATCTAGAATCCCCATGAAGCAGCAGTGGGAGTCGCAGGTGCAGGCCTGCTCCTGGGAAGCCCTCTGACCTCAGCCACAGCCCCAGGGCCTGCAGGCTGGGGACCTGGGATCACACAGCCAGCCCTGCGGCGGCTGATCCTCCAGCTCCCCTTCCTGGAGTACAGTATCTGTCACCCACAGCGGGAGGCTCCTGGAGGAAGGTGTCTGACTGGGAGAACTGAGGTTTCGTGTGGAGACTTTGGAGTCAGGATCTCAGAACACTTGTCTGCCTTGACCAACTCCCGCTGCTGTAGCAGGACGCCTGAGGCTGCGCATGTTAGCAGAGGTCTACTTAACTAAGTTCGGGAGGCTGAAAGTCCAAGATCAGGCGGCCCCATTGGTTCAGCCTCGGGTGGGGCCCGGTGGCTGGGTCAACATGGGAGGTGACATCATGGTGGGGCACTAAGAGGGAGGTCATATGGCAAGACAGGAAGCAGAGGCTGGGAAGGGCCAGTCTTGCTCTTTTTAAAACCCACACCAGGGGGAACTAAGTGGACCCCATGAGAACTACTTTAAACCCTGAGGTCAGGGTAGTGCCCCCTGACCTTGCCCTAGACCCCACCTCTCGTGGGCCCACCACCTCCACATCACCACATGGGGGCTGAGCTTCCAGCCTGTGAACCCTTGGGGGACCCACTCAACCCACATCAAACCGTAGCAATGTGGATCCATGGCCAAGGTCTCGGTGCCTCAGCTCTGGTGCCCACATGGGCCGCCGTGTTCGGGAAGCTGCGCCGAGTCAGGGCACCCGGCAGCCAAACCACCCTGGGATCCAAATGGGCTTCGAAGCCTCCAATTGGGTTAACCAGAGATTGATGGGGGACAAGAGTATTTTTTGGATGCCAAAAAAATAAGTATTTTGAATGAGAAATGTACAAAGTATTTTTTTTAATTTTGGAGAGGAAATTAAAAAGACTGTGGGCAGTCCAGATAAGACTCTAATTTCCATTCAAATAGGAAAACAACAGAGGAGCGGGTCAGAGCCCGCGATGGGGAACATCTGGACTTGGAGGATCTGCTCAGAGCTGGACCCAGAGGCTCTGGCCAGGGTCATAGGGACGGGCTGGTTTGTGAAGCCGAAGATAGCAGGGCCATTTGGAGGGACTTTGAGGGATTGATTTCTTGGTTTCTCTCTCTCTCTCTTTTTTTTTTTTTCCAGTACTGGGGATTGAACCCCGGGCCTCTCGCATGCTAGACAAGGGCTGTACCACTGAGCTACACTACAGCCCTTCTTACAGTTTGAGACAAGGTCTTGATAAGTTGCCCAGGCTGGCCTTTCGATCCTCCTGCCTCAGCCTCCCTGGTAGCTGGGGTCACAGGTGTGCACACCGTGCCCGGCAGAGGCTCTTGATTATGAGCAGTTTCTAAAGTCCTCCGACCTAGAGCGTCAGTTACATTGTGTTTTCAGTTGTGACTGTTAACTCGCCTTCATAAAGAAATCAGCTCAGTGATTCACCCAGAGGCCTCTGCTGCCAGGGTGGAGGTCTTAGGTCATCTTAGGATGTTGGCCAGTTTGATCGAATGCCGTGGAGTTGAGAGTGCTTTCCGGCTCCGCAGGCCTGGACCTCGGGAAGCCTGTGTGCTTCATTCAGGGTGACAGCTTCTCAGGACCACCCCGGCTCCCTGCGAGTCTTGATTATAAATATGATGGTTTCATCTTTGCTTTGTAGTGCAGGGGATCAAATTCAGGGCCTCAAGTGTGCCAGGCAGGTGCTCTGCCCAGGGCCTCACCGCAGCCCCTGGTTGGTTCTTTTGGAGAGATTTACTGTGCTGCCACCTGAGGGTGGAGGCCTGTGAGCACATCATGCACAGAAATGTCTGAGTGTGGCTTTTGCTGGTGCCACGGCGTTCACAATGCTGTTATTTTCAACTATAGTTGATTTCAGCCCTGACAAAGATGGGGCCCTGACAGATCCTAATTCCTCCCATGAACATGGTAGGCACCCACCAGGGGACGCAGCCCTGAGGTTACATGCAGTTCCCAGAGTCTGGGCCTGAGGAGGGAGCAGCTGATCTCCCCAAATCCTTCTGGCAGGAGCAGCCAGCAGGATGCTGAGTCCGTCTTCCCCGTGCCCCTCCTTGCGCCTGCCCCTATTTGCCCAGTCTGGTGGGCACCCAGCCAGCGCCCAGCCTGCCCCCAGCCCACCAGCTCTCCCACTTCCATGGGCCCCGTGACACTTGGCCTCAGCCCTGTCTGTCCCCTGCCTGGGACCGGGAATGTTCCCTGCTCTCGCCTGGGCCTGCACCCGGGTTCTCCTTACAAACCCTCCACTCGGTGGAAGTCCTCCCCTGGAGCAGCCCACCTCCAGGCTGTCCCTCCAGGCGGTGGCTCTGTCCCTGGGGTCCACTCGCCCTTCCTCTACGGGTGTTCAGACCAACCCATCTACTGCCCAACCCTCACCCCTGGGAGGACTGAGGCGGTTGTTCTGCTGGTCTCCTTCCTCGTCTCTTGCTGCTGTCAGCAGCCTGGGCCTGAGGGAGGGATGGCAACCGGCCTCGGTGTCTGTGCCTGTGAGGCTGTGCTGAGCCAGGAGTGAGGCCGCCCGTGCCTGGGCTCCTGGACAAGGTGCCATGCTGATGAGCAGGGCAGGGCGGCAGGGTCCGTCCTCCTGAGCTGACGTCCTCTGAATGCTGAGCCACACAGGCCTGTTCTCCAGCCCTTCCTCCCACATCTGCCCTCTCACCTTGTCCCCAGACACAGCTAGCCCACGTGGCTACTCCCCCGGTGTCCCTGCTGCGCTGGGAAGCAGGCCCCACCTACAGAGCCTCCGGGATCCCTCCGGGGTCTGCACTGGAGTCGATGCCAGGTGGAGGAGCAGCCCTGGAGCGCAGCGGGTGGGCCCCGCAGGGGGCTTGATCGGTTCCACACGGGCCAAGATGGACCTTTCCTTTTAAGCAAAGGGCTCAGCCTCATAGAGGGCCCAAAGGAAATCCTTCCCAAGGGAAAAACCAGGGAATCGGCTTGGAATTGTACAAGCCAGTGGCCTGAGGAATGTTCTTTCCCATCTCCGAGACTTACCGTGAACATCTGGATTCTGTCCTGGGAAGCCTTGGTGCCCCCTCCCCGTGTGCCCCGCTCCCCGTGTGCCCTCCTCCTGGCTCCTGCTCTGTCCATGGGTCCGTTTCTCTTTGGTGGAACCCCAGTGTCCACGGGGTGGCATGTGGCAGGGTGAGTGCAGGATGGGGGATTGAACCAAGGAGACCTCTGGGGGCTCAGAGGAGTGCAGGGCTGCTCCTCACCCAGGGGAGCTGCTGGCCCAGCTGGCCCAGGGGACTGGGCGCCACCGGCCTCTGCAGCTGGCGGAGTGCTGGGGAAGCCCCAGGCACCCAGCCCTCAAGTGCAGTCCTGCTCAAGAAGCACCTGTCCTGCTCGGGCTTTGTCTCCTGGGCCTTATCCTGAATGCCCCGAGCAGAGCGCCCACGCCAGGGAGTGGGCCCACAGAGATGGGATCCGAGAAGCTGGAAATGCTGTTTCCAGACGGAGACTCTAGTTCCAGGTAGAAACTTCAGAGTGGACTGAAATAAAGCCACCTGTCAGGCTCCATATCAGGAATGATTTTCCCCTGAGGAACTGGGGAGCAGATGCACAGATGCTCTACCACTGAGCTACACCTCCAGCCCTTTTATTTATTTTTAAATTTTATTTTGAGACAAGGTCTCTCTAAGTTGCTGAATGTCTGGCTAAATTGCTGAGGCTGGCCTCCAACTTGATCCTCCTGCCTTAACCTAAGATTACAGGAGTGTGTCACCACGCCTCGCAGAAGTGAGTTTTTTGTTTAAGTCAAAATAAAATTATCTGGAAGCCAAAGATCTTGCTCTGGGTCCAGGGAAACCTGCAGGTAAGATTCCTTTCTGCTCAGGATAGAGCTGAGGTGTTTTCTAAATGGAAGAGCCAAGAGGAACTTGGATTAAGGAGCAGGGATGCCTGGTGCAGTGGCACATGCCTGTCATCTTGGCGACTTGGGAGGCTGAAGCAGGAGGATCACACGTTAGAGGTCAGCCTTAGCAACTTAGTGAGATCCTGTCTTAAAATAAGAAATACAAAGAGCTGGGAATGTATCTTGGTGGTAAAAAGCCCTGTGTTCGATCTTCAGTACTGAAGAAGAAAAAAAAGGAGACACAACTAACTGCGGATTCAGACCCTGTCACAGGGTCATTCCAAAGTGACAGGACCCCTTTGGCTGTAGGACTTAAAGAGAAGAGGGGTGGGGCTGGGGAAGAAGGGGTGCATGGTGGGTGAAATATAGAAACAGGCCCAACCCCAGGGTTGCTGGGGGGCTTATCCCTCCAGTATCGACTGTGGGGAGCTGGAGGGCGCCGAGAAAACCCCCAAAGATGGTTTCAGAGAACAGCGTCTGCTTTATTGCGCAGCAAAAATAGCTCTCATAGTGGGCGTGGGCCGGTTTGCATACGACGGTCAGCATGGGCCAGAGGGGGCACAAACATACCATCTTCTGGAAGTCAAGACACCAAGAGTCCAGAAACTGCCACGTAGCTCGACCCCGCACCAACCCGGGAGTAACTTCTTGTCAAAGGGGCAAGGAAATGTGCCTGCCACTGTTCTGACAGCACTTGTCCCAAACACAGTGTTCTGTGTTAGGACTTCCTTCCCTGCTGCACAAAGAGCAAGCCAGAGTCCTCCACGAGGGTCCGGGTCAGGCCCTGCAGCACCGGGCCTCTCCATCTGCTCCCCGTGCAGGTCTCCTAAGTGGCCTGGGGGCCAGGACCCTGGACCCGGGCCCTTTCTGGCACCCCTGGGGGCACTGAGGGCTTCAGGCACTGGGGGAGGGTGGTAAGCGTGTCCCCCTCTGGGATTGCCAGGTTTGGAACATCAAAGCCCAGGAGGCCAGTTACACTTGCGTTTCAGAGAAGCAAACGTGCTCCTCAGGGAGCCCTGCGGTGGGATGCGGGGAGACGACTCTGTGTCCGACAGCTTTCCCCTGGGGGGGGGAAGAACCAGGGAGCCTCCTGTGCTGCGCCCCTCTGACCCAAACTCCCAGGTGTCCCATCTCTGGCTCTGGGAGCTGAGGGCCTGGCTGGGGGTGCGCTCGCCATGGCTTTGCAGCGCAGCCAGGAAAGAGCACCGCAGAGAGGCCAGGGCAGGTGTGACTGGGCTCTGTCTCCTCCCCAGCAGCCACGGACGACAGTGCAGGAGGGCGGCTGCCCGCTGGACCTCAGGCGGAGCCTCCCCTGTTCCCCACAGCGGCCCACAGCTGGCTGAGGGACGTGTCCCAGGACCCTGGCAGCAGAGAGCGCGTCAGGTAGGGGCATGGGGTGGCATGGGCCTGGTCTCACCCGTCACCTGGCTCCTGGAGGAGGACCCAGGACAGACAGCGCCCACCAGGCCTGGGGACCTGGCCTCAGACAACGGGAGCCAGGGAGCTTTCTCCAGGTCCTAAAACAGAGACGGGGCACCCATGGGATGCCGCCCCCATGCCTGGTGACCCCAGGCCACGTCAGTGCCAAGGGGCAACCCTCATGGACGTGCCCCAGAGACCAGTCTCAGGAACCACTGGGCGAACCTGTTCCGGGGACGTGTGACCCGGGGCGACGTGGGGGCGGCGTCCTATCTTTGCTTTTCACTTTTGAAGACGCTGGCACGGCGGGGGGGCGAGGACAGAACAGGCCCAATGGGAAATGGTTTTCTCTTCCTCTGGTTCAGAGGCGCGCAGCCCGGTGGTCCCGCCCGTCCCTTTGCTGATCTGAGGAAACCTGCTCAGGGAGAGGGCACAGCCCAGTCTCAGACCAGCCTGTCCCAAGCCCACAGTCGCCTGCTGCCCATTCCATGTCCTCCTGGCCACGGGCACCCTGCCAGCAGAGTGACTTCAAGATGGAGAACTCATCCTTGGGCACCAAAATACAGGGCTAGCGCATATGGTGGCCTATACACCCTCGGAGTCTCTGCCTCAAGGGACGTGGTGGGGCAGCCGGCCCAGGCCTTCCGCGAAGGCTTCCATCCTGTGTCTGCAGGGAGCAGGACCCGGTCCCTGTCGCTGTGCCTCCCTCCAGGAAGCCAGCCAACCCTCCCTCCCCTGTCTGCAGAAACAGGAGCCCCCCAGCTCTAGAGGCCCCCGGCACACGGCCGTCCAGAGCGGGTGGGAGGACCAAAGCCTGCACCCTCTGTGGAGAAAGTCAGAGAAAGAGGGGGAGGGGGAGGAGGCGGGCAGGAGAAGGGGCCACAGTACTAAGCCCCCATCAGCAGCACCTCTTCATCCACTTTCCCGGAGACGGTGGAGGTACCACAGGGGTCAGCCCCTAAGGAGCACAGCTGTAAAAGGTGGCAGGACAAGCCAGAGGCCAGGGGGGTGGGGGGGCTGGGTCCCAGCATCTGGCCACCTCCGGGCCAATGGCTGCAGGCCCCCTACCTGGCCCCTTCCCTGTCTGAGTGACTGAAGGAGAGCTTGTCAGCCAGGTCAGGGGCTCTTGGCCCTCGGTCCCCTCTTGAAATGGGGAGGAGGTTCAGAATGAGATTCCAAGGCCAGGCCCAGGGCCAGGCAGATCCTCCTGTGAGACTCAGAGAAAGCAGCGCTCCAGACCTGGGGTCCTTTCTCCTTCCTCCCTCCTTTATGAAGCTCACGCTGGGGACAGCCCTCTCGCCCCATATAACTGTTTCCATGATGGGCAGGCGCCTGAGGCCCACTACGCTCAGCAGGGTTCCCGGCTGGCCGGCCAGGCTTCGCTGGGCACAGGGCCCCTCTGGTCAAACCACGGGGTTCAGTCCTCTGACTCCAGGGGGCTCTTCACGAGGAGGAGGAGAGTGAAAAGGAGAGCGCGTCCCTTCCCCTCTCCCCACGCTGTCTGGAACCCTCTCTGCCCACCCGACCCCCTCTTGGCTGGGTGACTTCAGCCCCCTCGGGTCTCAGACACCCTGGCTCCTGCGTGATCCCAAGTAGGTCACACCCCAGGCCACAGGCTCCCGGCCGTGCAGTCCCCTGCCACGGGCACAGAGCTCACTGCTTTGACACGTTGCCCCCAGCCAGCTCCGTAGTCCTCCAAGACAGTCGTCACACACAGGTTGACTACCTCCGTGTTCCCACAGCCAGCTGTCAGACACAGGTCAGAGAAAAAGGGAGAAAGACTTGCTCTCCCACTCCCTGTTGTCCCCCACCACAGCTTGGTGTGGCCCCGAGGGAGCCCTGTGACGCCCAGAGAGCAGCCCCAGCTGGACGGAAGGCATTTGCCACATGACCTGGGGACAGGCGAGGGAGCGGACTCCTCAGACAGAGCTCTCCTCTCCAAGCCCAGGCGGGGACTGAAGCCAACACCGCCAGGGTTCTGTCCTGCCTCAGACAGGACGGGAACGTTGAAATCCGCAATCAGAAAGTCCAAAATCTGAAAAGCTCCAAAATCTGAAATGTTTTGAGCACTAATGCCAAAAGTGGAAAATTCCACACCAGGAAACTATTTCCTGCACATAAATATTTTTTAAAAACTACATAAAATTGCCTTCAGGCTGTGTGTATAAGGTGTATATATAAACATGAATGAAGTCAGTGTTTATACTTAGGTCCTCCCCAAGATCCTTCATATACATATGCAAATGTTCCTAAATCCAAAACTGTCTGAAATCCAAACTTTTTTTTTTTTGAGGAAGGACTGAGGCTTTTATTAAAAAGAGTAGAGGGAAGGAAAACACAGGTATTGACGGGGTGGGGTGTAGAGTTCAACATTCTTTGGAGATAAGAACGTTTACTGCAACAAATTAGGGAGGCTACATCCAAGCCCATTGGAATATCCACACCAGAGAGAGGCTGATTGCTGTGGACTCTCCAAAGGCCCACTAAATATTTGCTGAAGAAATTTTTCTCGTTTTTCAGTTTTTGATTCAGTCTCCACGTAGCACCTTATTCCTGTCAGCAGATCCGTGAGGCTCTTAAAGTGACTCTTGCTTCCTTTTGGATCATTGGACAACCACTTGAACTTCGCGTCAGTGTCCGTGGTGACGTCCAAAACTTCATTCATTTATTTATTTATTTTTGGTACCGGGGATTGAACTCAGGGGCGCTTGACCACTGAGCCACTCCCAGCCCTATTTTTGTATTTATTGAGGCGGGGGGTCGCACTGAGCTGCCTAGGGCCTCTTAAGTTGCTGATGCTGGTGCCACTGCGCCCGGCTGAAATCCAAAACTTTTAAGGAGAAAGAGCTTTACTTTTGTACAGGTTGTTCCCCTCTCCTGTGACCCCTAGGGAAGTATGGCAGCTCGGACAGGTAGAGTCCATCCAGCTGGAAGAGCCACCCTTAGGAAGCAGGCAGCTGGGAAGTCTGCCGGCCATTACTGCTCCTCCTGACAAGGTGCCTGTTGACCAGCTGCCCATGCAGGCCACCACGGCTCTGACGGCTATCTCTAGGGCACCTTCCGGTTGACACAGAGAGCAGAACTGACTTCCGGCCCCGGGTGCTGTGTGTGCCTGCAGCAATCGCCTTCTCTGTCGTAGGTGGTCACCGTCCCGGACTTCCTTTCCAACTAGTTTCCCCGCTCTGCCCTGCTGGCCCTCTCTGCCAGGCCAGTACTATTTCCTGGCTCTGGCTACCTCAGCATGCTGGGGTGGGGCCGTGGAGTCCATCCTGCCCACAGTGACCTTCCCCTCGTCTCTGCAGAGGTCAGTGACAGTTGGCCAGCTCCTTGTCAACATGGCCACCTCCTGCAGCAGGAGGGCTACAGCCAGAGGGAGCCCCTGTCCGAGGATGCTCTTTCCCTGAGCTGGCCAGGGTTGTGTCCTACGGCACAGGGCAGTGGAGTGTGGCTGTTGAGGTGTGAACAGTCTGTGCAGAGGGGAGATGAATTTGAAGGAATTGGTTCATGTTACTGAGGGACTGGGTAAGTCCAAAAATATGACGGGGTAGACCAGCAGGCCAGAGATTAGGGGAAGAGGTGCTGGCTGAGTTCCTCCCCACTCTGGGAAGGTGCATCTTTTTCTAATCAGCCCTTCAACAGATGAAGCCAGTCATATTCTGGAGGGTGATCTGCTTTATTTGAAGTCTACCACTGAAATGTTGATTTGGGGGCTGGGGTTGTGGCTCAGTGGTAGAGCACCTGCCTAGCATGTGTGAGGCTCTGGGTTTGATCCTCAGCACCCCATAAAAATAAATAAAATAAAGGTCCATTGACAACTAAAAAAAAAAAATGTTAATTTTGCTTTAGTTGTGTGTGGTGCTGGGGATTGAACCCAGGGCCTCTCATATCTAGGCAAACACTCTGTCACTGAGCTACATCCCCAGCCCTTGTTAAATAATTTATTTTGAGGCAGAATCTCAGTAAGTTGTCCAGACAGGCCTTGAATTTGCAATCCTTCTGCCTAATTCTCCCAAGTAGCTGGGATCACAGGCATGCACCACCGCACACCCAGCTTAAATCTTAATCTTATCCAAAAACCAGTTTCACGGACACATCCAGAATGATGTTTGACCCAATATCTGGACACTGAGGTCCAGCCAAGTTGAAATGTAAGAGTAGCCAACCCCTCAAGGCTTTCGACACCTTGCTACGTTGCTCTCCAAAAGGGCAGTGCCCTTTCCTGCTCACTCTGGGGCTGGGGGGTTATAGGTTCTGAGCCCTTCTCTGTCTGGCTTTTCACTGCCTCCCCTCAGCTGACCCCTGACCCCACTGCCTGATGTCACTGCTCATGGGCTTTACGGTGCCATAGGTGAATCCAGTCAGCCCTCCTGGGCCTGAACCCCCAGTGCTGGATGGCTCCCAGGATGGCCGGCGCTGGCCTCCCTATCCCCAGACCACAGCTGAGGACGTGTCCAGGTCACCCAGTGTTAGGCCCACCCTCACCACTGCCGTGGTAGTTGCCACTGTTCTGAAGAGGTCGTTTTTCACTTGCGTCTCAGTTGTTCCTGTTTTGTTGAACCCAGGGGTGCCCTGCCACTGGGCCACATCTCCAGCCCTTTTCATTTCACTTGAGACAAAGTCTCACTAAGTTGTCTAGACTGGCTTCAAACCCCAAATCCTCCTGCCACAGCCCCTGACTCGAACAGCTGGGGTTAGGGGTGTGTGCCACCGCACTCGACTTAATTTTGCAATTTTTAAAAAATGCAGTAGAGTTATGTCCTCCACGTCCTCCTGAATCTGGCCTGAAGACTTCTGGCCTAAAGACAGGACCATTTTTATGCCAGTCTTTTCCTAATTTGAATTTAGATACTTTTTAGAAATAGTCAGTATTGTTTTTCTACTTATTAAAGTGATATATCCTCAATACAAAGAGAAAAGCACATAGAAATATAGAAAGGCCATAGAAATTCCAGTTTTCTCTAAAGAAGCTCCCAGAGGGCTGGGATTGTGGCTCAATGGTAGAGCGCTCGCCTAGCATGCTAGAGGCACTGGGTTCGATCCTCAGTACCACATAAATGTAAAATAAAGATATTGTGTCCACCTAAAACTTAGGAATAAATATTTTTTAATAAACATTTTTTTAAGAGAGAGAAAGACAGAGAGAGAGAGAATTTTAATATTTATTTTTTAGTTTTTGGCGGACACAACATCTTTGTTGGTATGTGGTGCTGAGGATCGAACCCGGGCCGTACGCATGCCAGGCGAGCGCAGTACCGCTTGAGCCACATCCCCAGCCCCAGGAATAAATATTTAAAAAAAAAAAAAGAAGAAGCTCCCAGAACAGTAACCCTTATTTTATGTAGCGCTTGCCTTGGGGACAAGGGTGCATCACTGAATCATCACACAGACATCTTACAGGAGAGAAACTGGGGCTGCCCAAGTGTCAGGGAACTTGCTCACATCTAGTCACAGCTGGAGGGAGGAAGGGCAGCCCTGAGGGTCACTGGCCACTCCAGGGAGCTTGGCTCCTGCGCATGCCCACTGGAGTCCTGGGTCTCGCTCTCCCGGCCTGCACTGCACACCTGCCCCTGCCCCCGGGGTGGGAGCCCTGCAACCTGCCCGCACCTCTGTGTCCTGCCTGGAAGGCTCTCCTCAGCAGCTCAGCAGCCCTCCGTGCGTAGACTCGCCCACACGCTGAGGCACCCACATCAGCTCATGGCGTGGTGACCACACCTGAAGGACTTCTGGGGGCTCCAAGTCTTCACAGACATGGTCAGTAAATCAGCACATCAGGTAGTCAGGAAGTCAAGGTGAGAGCCCAAGACGGGCGAGAGACCATACCTCCAACCCCTGCTGGGAGGCAGCACAAGACCTCACTGCTGGCGGGAGGAGGGAGCCGGTGTCCACACAGGGCCACCATGTCCAGCGAGGCTGCTGCAGCAGGCTAGATCCTGTGGGCACCTGGAAAGTGCTGGCTTCAAGGTCCGCCTGGTCTCAGCTACCTGCTATGGACTCTTAATTTGTACATCCTATAAATGAAGTGTGATGCCTGCCCCGCAGGATTGAGGGTTCACTGTCATTTGCTTTCAGCAAGACCTTTCCTGGCCACCCCATCTAAAATCAGCTTCCTTCTGCTGCTGAAGCGGATTTCAACACTTAGAAACCTCAGCGACACCAGTGTATTAACTTCCAGCTCCGCAGGGCAGAAGTCACTGGCCAGATTCAAGGGGTGTTAATAGATACATTCCTTTCTGGGGGACAGCCTGTTCATTGCTGTCCCGTGTTTCTAAAGGCCACCTGTACTCCTTGGCCCTCCCTGTGACCCTTGTTCTGTCCTCAAAGTCAGCAGCTGTGCTGAAGGGCTCCAGCTTGACCTGGAGCGATGTTGGTCAAACCTTGGTCAAAACCGCCGCTGGCCTGCCAGGTGACCCTGACACGCATCCCAAGCCCTCTCTGACAAACAGTCATTAAGATAGTCAGCCAAGCATGTTGTGCAGCCACAGATGCCCGACTGTTTCTGACCTCACCCTGGGCATGCTAATAGTTTTACAGGGACATGCCGGTGAGTCAAGGCCCACCGTTGTGTGATTCAGCATACAGATCACTTTCTACTGCCTCGGGATGTGGGATCCTTCTGTCTTGCTGCCCACGGAGACACGCTCTGGCCACCGGTCCCTAGCACACTGCATTTGGGGCACTCCTGGATTTCTCTGCCTCTGGTCTCTCAGCTCCCCTTCCACCTTGGGCGGTCAGTTCCTATAGGCCAGGACCAGGTTTTTCTGAAGGCCGTGCATCCCTGGGCCTTTCTTCCACAGCCCATCTCTTTTGCTGATGGTTGGGCTGCCTGCCTCTCTCTCCTGGGAGGAGCCTGTGATCACCTGGGCCTGCCTAGATAAGCCGGGGCAATCTCCCTCCTGTACCCTACGCCTGGCTAATTAGCAGCCCCAGCAAGCCTGCAAACTTAGGAGCCCTAAGGTCACTCCTCAGCTTTAATTCCTCTTTGTCATGCAATTGAACATGATTTGGGACCCAGACATCTTTGGGGACCCTGTTCTGCTCACATGCCTTCCCACCATCCATCTCTCGGAGGCTCTGTCCCCTTCCCACCTTCACCCCCCCTTAGGGTTTGCTTTTCATGATCTCCCTGTCACCTAGACTGTGAGCTCCACAGGGCGGGATTCTTGCCTGTGGGTATCCTGTGCCACCCTCCCCACCCCATGCCTAGGTCAGGGCCTTCCTGGCACCTGTTGGGGCTCAGTGGGGCTCCCTCCTCCCCCCTTCCTAATGGCGGTTCAGTAGCGGGGACTCTAACTGCACGTTTTTCCCTAGGGAGTTTGCATCGACTTTCACCTGCAAGCCAAGGACCCCCGACACTCCAGAGACCCTCGAGCCGAACTCGCCCAAGGCAAAGGCATCAGCCCTGACCCCCCAGTTCTCCTCGTGTGGCCCCCAGAAGGCCAGCCGCCCTGGCTCCATGGCTTCCTCCTCAAGGGGCCTGCACAGTAAGTCAGCCTGGGCCCTGGCCACTAGCCCAGAGTGACCAACCCCCATGTGGGGTCAACCCGGCCTGTCCTGGCGAAGGAGGCTGGCCCTGGAACGAGGCTTATGTTGTGCTGGGAGACTCCCACCCAGGCCTCAGCCCAACAGCTGTGTGCCAGTGGGGGACACAGTCAAATAGAAGCAGGTGAGGGGCTGAGGTTGTGACTCAGTGGCAGAGCACTTGCCTCCCACATGTAAGTCGCCGGGTTTGATCCTCAGCACTACATAAAAATAAATAAACAAAGATGTTGTGTCCATGTAGAACTAAAAAAAATTTTTTTAAATAGAAGCAGGTGACTCCTCACAAGCCAGGTAGCAGGGCCACCAGGAGGGCCAGTTGTGGGTGGGTCCAAGGGTCCCCACTGTGTCCTGGGGCCTCCCTTGCTGCCCTTTTGCTCCCTGTCAGGACGACCCTCCCAGCCTCAACCAGTTGGCTCCCCACCCTACCACCTCTGCACCCCAACTAAGCTGGACCTTTTCAGAGGAAAATGAACAAAGCAAAGAAGCCAAAACAGCCTGAAATAAGCCACACCCAGAGACGGGCACTTCCATGCCTGCCCCCAGCCCTCCCTGGCCAGACCTGGGCATTGTGGTCACCTGAGGACCTGCAGGCTGCAAGGCCACGGGCCCCTGTTCCTGGGGGAGACTCAGCGAAGCCTCAGTTCAGGCCAGGCTACCTCCCCCCAGCCCCAGGGCAGCTGCAGGAGACCCAGGGAAAGCTCCGCTAGAGGACAGTGGTCAGGCCTCTGACCCTGCCAGTTTCCAGGGCACACCAGGTCAGAAGAGCGCGGGTCATAACATCACATCAGTAGCACCCCAGCAGCCGATGGCTGCCCTGACCGCACACCCAGATGCCTCTCGCAGCCTGAGCCGTGTGCACAGCTCTCGGGAAGTGGACCCAGCAGAGCTCACGGCAACCCAACCGGGCGGCCCCACCAGGCGGCCTGCTTCCTGTGGGGGGAGGCCGTGCCCGGGCCAGGAGTCGGGACCCGGGAGGGAAAGTTCTCATTCTGTTTGACATGAGCGGGTTGAAAGAGGGATTGTGTGGCACAGAGGGGTTCTGTGCAGGCATCACTTGGCGCTGGCATCTTGCTCTGGCCCTTCTTCCCCAGGCAGCCAGTCCTACAGGAAGTGAGGATGCTTCTCTCCCTGGGTGTCACTGTCCCGTTGCCTGAGGACCAGCTAGCTTCCCGTTCTCTGCCAGCCAGCAGCTGCAGGTGACAGATGTGAAGAGACAGTTGTCAACGAGACACTGGACGACTGGGGAGCTGGGGAGGGACCCGCCCGCCAGCCCAGCCAGGAGTAAGGTCGTGACTGCCCACCATCTGGGCCCTTCTCATCTAGGAGAGACACATGGGGAGGGCCGGGGAGCCTACTACTGCCCTCCCGGCAAGGGGACATTTCCTGGTCACCTTCACAGGAGGAGAGCCGTGGCCTTTGCCCTCGGGAGACCTTCGGCCCAGGTCCAGCCAGCATCCCCAGCTCCCCAGCACCAGCTGGGCAGAATTCGAGACCAAACCTGGGAGCCCTGCCATCTCCCTGGCTCCCGAGGAGAGGCTGAGCCCACGAAAGCTCGGCCAGCCAGAGGGACTCTGCAGACTGCTGACCAGGGCTGCCCTGTGGAAGCCCCTGTCCTCACTGGGACCAGCTGCGGAGGCCTCATCATAAGGCACCTCATTCTCAAGCCAGTGTCAGCCCCAGCAGCAGCCTGGGGACTCTGTTTGGGTCTTCACCTGAGACAGAGAATGTGGAATGCTCCGGCAGCTTCAGAGCAGCCCTCTGCTCCTACCCGGGTTCTTAGTTTTTTGGTATTTATTTTATTTTTTGTGGTACTAGGGATTGAACTCAGGGGCGCGCCACCACTGAGCTATATCCCCAGCCCAGCCCTTTTTATCTATTTATTTTCATTTCATTTCATTTCTTTGAGGAAGGGTCTTGCTAAGTTGCCCGGGCCGGCCTCCGCCTTGCAGTCCGCCTGCCTTCTCCTCCTGAGTCACAGATTACAGGCGTGTGACACTGCACCTGGCTGCACACAATTTTTAAAAGCTTTAGAAAACCGGCCAGTTTAATGCCCTGTGTTTCCCTCCCTGTATTAAGATCATGAATAAGGCCAGGCATGTGGCACACACCTGTAATCCCAGCAGCTTAGGAGGCTGAGGCAGGAGGATCACATGAGAAATAAATAAATGAAAGGACTGGGGACACAGCTCAGTAGTAACACCCCCGGGTTCAATTCCCAGCACCAAAAAAAAAAAAAAGATTTAAAAAAGACCACAACATACCACCTCCACCAGCAAAATGACCAGTGACCACTGTTCTTGTTGAGGGTAAATCAGGCCCAAGTCTTAGGACAGAGGAGGGACATTAACCCAGCACAGCACAGCACCCTGGGTGTTACCCACACTGTAAAATCATGAAACTGATCAGGTTTTAGAAGGCGGTGGGGAGGGAAAGCAAGTTAGTGTCCAGGCCATGTCCCAGGTGTCTCCTGCCTTCAGTGGAGACATCTCAGGGGACCCACAGGTTGGAAATAAAGGACAATCCCTGTGTTTTTCAGTGGCCTGTGACTCCTTAGGAGCAGGCAGAAGCCAGCAGAAGTCCCTTGAGCAAGAAAGAACCAGGTTCCCCATGTTAGTCCCATAAGCCCATCTAGGGCCAGGACCCTGGAACTCAGCATTCTTGGCTGCGGCTTGGGCCGGCACCTTAGATCTCTGGTGCGCACAGCCCAGTACCGCATCTCGGTTCTCTGGAAGTGCGTGCGACCTCCTGCACTCTGGGGGAGGGAGGCTGTGGAGCCCGGCGCCTCAGGTGCCCTCTGAACCCCTGGCTCGGCCTGCAGATGCCTGGACCACAATCAGGTGCTGGTCTCCAGAGTTGAGAAGCGGGCAGGGGGAGCAGAGGCCCCGGAAGGGAATCACTCCATGGTGAGTGCTCCCCGTGCCCACCAGTCCACTCCCCTGGGATTCCTCAGGCGCTGCCTGGCACGGCCTCTCCCTGCCTGGTGTGGGAGCAGCAGACACCCAGGGGTGTGTCTTTCAGCCGTGTCTCCCCGGTCCGAGGTCTGAGCCAGTGCTGTCTCTCCCTCGCCTTCAATTGAGCAGAAATCTCACTGGCAAATGTCTGGTCACGGGGGAAGGAGAAAAGCTAGTCTTTTAAAGAGAAAGGAGTAGAGCCACTCGGCCTCTCACCCGGGCACACTCTGCCTTCCAAGGCTGCGGGCTGGAAACGTGCTTTTTAAAATACCAAGGACCTGTTCATAAATAGTTCAGCTATCTGCTGGCTCCACAGAGTTAGCTGAGCTTGGACATGAACCCAATCTACAGGGGAAAATACCAAATACACAATAAGCCGAGAGTTCTTTAAAGATCATCTGGAGAGCAATCACATGACTCCTAAGATTTGCCCATGAGACCTACCAAGGGAAGAATCTTAGAACCTCTAATAACTGTGGGCCCCTCTGGCCCTGGAAGCTAAGCCCAGCTCTCTGGTTACCCCGTACTCCTCCCTCCTTTTTGCAACACTGGGGATTGAACCCAGGTCCTGCCTGGCACGTGCTAGGCAAGAGTTCTACCATCTCATTTCCTCTCCAACCCTTTTTGATTTTATTTTAAAGGTCTTGCTAAGTTGCCCAGGTTGTCCTCGAGCTTGTGATCCTCCTGCATCAACCTCCTGAGTCACTGGGATCATAGGCATGTGCCACTGTGCCCAGCCCAATTTTTTCTTTCCTTTTTTCCCTCCGATTTTTTTTCTGAGAAGCACTTGATCCCATTTGCTTCATTCAGAGTGTGGTATAACTGCCTGACAACTGCTCAAATCAGGATAGGGTAGAAAATAGTAGGAAGAATTTCTGCAAGCCAGTCAGATACCTGGGGTCTGACAGCGGGTAAGGAAGGACCCAGCCCAGATGGGAGGAGCTACATCCAGGCATGGTGGTGCACACCTGCAACCCCAGCTACCAGGAAGGCAGGGGTAGAATTGCAAGTTCCAGGTCATTGGGGGAAACTTAGCAAGGTGCTGTCTCCAAAAATTTTTAGAAAAGGGCTGGAAGTGTAACTCAGTAGTCATGCACTTGCCTGGCCTACACAGGCCCGGGGTTCAACCCCCATTAATGCAAATTTTTTTAAAATCAAAACCAAATGCAAAAAATTATAAAATATCAAAGTTTTTTTTTAAATAAAAAACAAAGCTCACCTGTACTTGTATAACCCTATTTGGCTTACCTAACCCTAATCCTGGACCTCAAACCGATAATTTTTTACAAAAACGAATATTTTTTACAAAAATATGCAGCTGTACATGGACCATTGTGTTGATTTGATTTTTGAAATATTGTATTAAAGTATTATTTACCTTGATTAATGAGTTTGCTCTGCTCCCCTTAAATCATGCTCAGAGAATGCCTCGCCCCTCACCCTCACCCTAGTGCAGGATCGGGGATCCTCCTGGACCCTCCCAGTCCCCTGCAGCGCAGCCTGTGGCTGGGGCTGGGCCTGTTTGCCTGACTGTCCTCCCTTCCCCTCAAGGGGCTCAGGGCTCCCAGTGAGATGTGGTTGGAGCGAAGCTGTGGGTCTTTGCACCTAACAGACCACCTCTGAAACTTAGTGGCTCAAAACAGTTTTACGAGTGTGCGTGAGCCATGGTTGGGCTCGTTTCTCCTGCTGGATCTGTCTGGGCTCAGTTTGCCTCTGTGGTCGGAGGACAGTCAGGGTCGTACCCGTGTCTGGTAGTGGCCACTGGTTTGGGTCTCCTCCCGTGGGGCTTCACCCCCTACATGGTAGTTCTTCTCAAGTCTCTCTGACATCACGCATGCTGTCTTCCCGGGGGCCCTCTCAGCACACAGCCAGGGCCTGTGTGGAAAGACATGGACATGGGACAGCTGGAGGGACCAAGGGCATCGCTGGGACACCTGCGGCGCAGAGGGGTTCAGAACTCACCTCACTCGCTGCCGCGGCCTCCCCTTTCTAAGTCAGCTGAGCAGCTCCGTCCGCTGGGGCACTCTGGGTTTCGAGGTGGAGACACAGTCGCACTGGCCCTCGGCTGCTGTCCTCTTCTAGGGAGGACAAACCCTGCTGGAAGCGACGGGCAGGCTTCCAGGAGGAAGCAGCACCACTGGGAAAAAGTCAGGCAGAGAGACCAACAGATCCAGAGCCACTCCATGGGTGTCGGGAGAGACTGGGACAGAACCAGGGGCGAGGAAGAGGGGGCAGGTGTGGGGAAAGGAGGGCATGGAGGGCCGTCCCGGGCTCACGCTGTGGAGGAGATGGAGGAGGAGGCTGCCCGAGGCCACAGGTCAGCCTGGCACGGAGCAGGCCAAGGACGTGAGCTGGAGGCCGAGGCTCTGAGACAAGCCGTCCTAGGGAAGGGGGCAGAGGCAGCCTGACCGCATGAGCTCTGGCAGGGGGCGGCAGCAAGGCCGCAGCCCACCAGCCTCCACCGGCTCCTGGGTGGGAGCAGTGGTGTCTGGGGCCAGCGCAAGAACTGCTGTCGGGCCACTTCTCAGAGGAGTCCTGTGAGCCGGTTGTAAATACAGCCATGACCAGAACCTAAATTGTGAGGCCTATGATTCAGTGAGTTCTGTTAAAAACAAAGAATCAGTATCCCAGGCCTGTCCCTTTACACTTACTTTGCGACATTCACTACTGCCTCTCCTGGAGGTGGCTGCACGTATTGCGTCATTATGGTGGAAATATTCCGTGTTCAGTGACATCATCCTGGTCACTTGAAACTGGCCATGGTGGCACATTTACACCATAGGAATGGGCAGGCACCACAGAGCAGAGCCTTCCCCCGCAGAGAGCACCCCCAGGCGGAAGTGGTGCTAGATGGTGCGGCCCGAGGCACAGTGTGGGTGGACCAGGAGTCCCGTCGGGGGAGATTGGAAGAGCAGGGCAACGTGTGACCCTTAGGATGACAAAACCAAGGGTGTGTGGCCTGGTGGTGGCTGCTCCAGGGGGCTCCACCCACATCTCTCACCTGGCCACAGGTGGCCCAGGCTCCCACGCCAGCTCACTCAGGCCTCGCCTCCAGGAGCCAGCCTGCAACCGTTGCTCATGGGCTCTGTGATCTCCCAGCTGTGCGACAGCTGAGGGCTTCCTCCCGATGACTTAGGTGCTCCTTGGACACCGTCCTGCTGGCACGCTGCCACGCTCAGGCCTCCAGTGTCCCTGCGCGCCTCCCAGAAGCACACCCACTTGAGGCCTCAGGGAAGTGGAGCCGCCCTGGCTGCCAGGCTCAGTGATGAGTCACCACTTCCCGCAAGTGAGAAGGCTTCACTGGGTATCGGAGTGGACCCCTGGAACTCGACTCTGATCCCCAACCTGGGGCAAGGGGCACTGAGCAGAGCTGAAAAGGGAGATAAGTGGGGGTGCACATTCAGACTAGCAGGTCTCTGAGCAGCACCCAGGCCAGGCCTGAACTTGGACAGTGGCATCTTCATGGGAGAGGCAGAGGCAGAGGCAGAGGGGCCCAGAGGAGCAGGGCTGGGCCCGGGGCTTACTGGTGAAGAGAGATTCTGGGATAAAGTGCTGGATCCAGAGGCAAGAGGAGAGGAGGCCAAGCCACCAGAGTGAGGTCAGGAACCGCCAGCACCATTCCCTGACTGAACAGGAGCAGCGTGGTCCCAGGACCCACTGGGAGGCCCGTTGACCACAAGACATGAGGCTAGGCTCAAGGTCAGGCATTCGACACCCTCTGGAACCTACGCTGGGATCCCTGCCCATCCGTGCATGCTGGATAGCCAACAGCATGCACACTCGGGAGCCAGCTGCAGGCCTGGAGCACCAAGGGCCAGGCATGGATTGGCCCTGGGCAGAGCCGGCCAAGGCCAAGGAGCGTCGTTCATGGGCTCTGTGATCTGCCTGATGCCAGAGCTCAGGCTGATGTGGGACAGGCCCTGGAGGAGCGTCGGCACCACTGGGAAGCCTAGCAGCAAGCAGCCCAGGAACTTCTGTGGGACCCCAGGAGAGTCCTAGAGTAGGGGATTAGAGCACATTAGCTCTCTCGGGCAGGGAGGCGGGACAGGCCGGGAAGGAGGCGCAGCTGGGCAGGGCAGACCTTTGAGAGGCCAGGCCAGACTGGAGCTCAGGCGAGGGGTGTTCAGGGTGGCCTGAAGAGCAGGAAGAGGGAGTGGCCTTCCACACAGGGCTTCAAGGGGAAGCGAATTCTAAGTAATACCTGGAACTATAACCAGAAAGGGTGGGGCAGGCCTGACCAGGCAGAGCAGGGAGCCAGGTGGACACAAGGACGGAGCAGGTAGAACACAAGGCCTCGTGGTGGCCTGCTGACCCCACGGTGGGGTGGCCTGTTGTATCCCTGGGCTCCATTCAGAAGTTGGGGTGCTGCTGGGTCTGTGTTCACCTCATCCAAGTTGTGGGGCTGCTCCTTCCTTCCCCTCCCCCCACCTTGGGACTCCAGCGGAAGGCCCTTCCTCCCTGCACCCTGCTTCAGAGCCTGCCCTGGGGAGTGGCCCGGGGCTGAGGGCTTGATGGGAAGCTGCGATGGCAGCTGGTGGTGGCCCTGAGAAGCCACCGTGAGCCGCTACTGAAGAAGAGGCAGAACCAGGTGGTGTCCAGTGCAGTCTCTGGAGGCCAGTTTCCAGAACAGCCTGACCTGTCCCGTTCTGCTCCTCTGAGCCAACAGAGTTTCTGCCTTTTTGTTTTTTAACCGATTCTCCGGATGGGGTGTAACTAGTCAGCACACGAGGTTCGCCAAGCAATCAGCTGGTCTCTTAGACGTGGCCGGCCACACTGTTCCCCGTCTGTGGTCACAGTCCACTCTCAGTCACAGTGTCTGGGGAGTTTCAGGCTGGTCCTGACCCTGTCCATTGTGCAGCCGCCCCTCCCACTGCCGGGAAGAGGGACCAGGAGGCAGGCCATTGTCTCAGGTCCTCGCTGGGAAACCCGCACCTAGGGGTGACTCTCCAGCAGCAAGAATCACCCCACTAGGTTTCCCGTCCTCCCTCGGAGAGAGGCCTCTGCCTTCATTTCTGTTTAAGACATGGTGAGGGTCCCTCTGGAAGGCTGAAGGGCCCAGAGAGGTGCCGACGGGCTGGGTGCTTGGAGAGTCCGGCTGTGGTGGCCCTGGCTCCGGGCCAGCCGACGATCCTGGCTCTGCTGGTGGGTGACACCTTCCCGTGAGGCTCCAGGTTCTGGCACAGATTTTTTTTCCACATTTTTTTGACTGATGTCTAATAGTTGTGCACATCGATGGGGGTTGTTGTTACACACTCACACACCCACAAAACACGGCGACAGCATTTGGCCAGTACCACCCCCCTGCACTTCCGCACCCTCCCGGCCTCCCACCCCTCGGTCCCTTCCCTCTGCTGATCTCCCTTTGATTTTTAGGAGATCCACCAGCACCTCTCTTTCCCCCTTTCCTCTAGCTTCCTCAGAGGAGAGAACACAGACCACCCTTGACCTTCTAAGTCTGACTTAGTTAATGTGATGGTCTCTGGTCCATTCATTTTCCTGAACATGGCATCATTTCTTTTTTCTTCATGCTGCCGCAGATTTTAAGGTTACCAGGAGACACCAGGGCAGCAGGCCAAACAAACTGGACCAAGAAGTTCAAGGCTGCAGTGGGAGTCAGACAGAACTTCTCAGTAACTCAATCTGCCCCAAGATGAAACACAAAACTGGTTCTCTCCTTTACGGCGGTTTGGCTGAAGAAGACGTTTACTGCCAGAGCGAGGACTCCATGACCACGGGCCCAGGGTGTGGCCAGGCCGGCAGTGAAGGGCCTCTGCCTCCTGGCATGGCCAGGACCTGCAGCTGGCCACACCCCCGCCCCGCACGCCATCTGAGGCTCAGGCGCTGAAGCAGGCCCAGGCCAGGTGGACTCAGCGTCACAGCTTGCCACCTTGTAGAGCAGTGGACACCGCAGTACCTGGGGCTCTGACCCTGACCCAGGCTCCAGTGCCCACCGAGGCCTGCCCCCCAAAGGCACTCCCGTCGTGTGGGGTTCCTGTCTCATGGCTTTCTTTCCTCTGACACCTGTAATGTCAGGACAGATCCTGGGTCCCCTCTATAGAATCGTAAAGTCTGCTGCCTCTAAAAATGCCATTAGCCCCTCCTGCCCCTCATCTCGACCCCGTGGTGGCCCTCTTCCGAGCAGTCCTCTTGCCCTATTCCTCGGGCTCCGGTCACCCTTTCAGTCTCTGCTTAGGGGAGGGAGGATGAGAAGAGGCCCCAGGGACTCGGTCCAGTCCCGAGGAGTCTAAGCAGAGAGGACTGTGCACTCTGCCCCAGGATCTCTGACTCCATAAATTCTTGGAGGCCAGGTGGCATCATGAAATCCAGCCCAAACACTCAGATCAGAGCAAGACCAAATGCAATTCAGGATCTGGGTCCATGATGGGGCCCAAGGGGCTGGGGACACAAATCAGAGGGTCTTTCCTGCCCCCTCCCTGCCTCCAGCTCTCCCCGACTGACCCTGTCCCCAGTCATTCTACAGACACACTAGGGAGTCCTTGCCATAGTCTCTGAGGGGGTTGGAGGGCCTGGGTCCAGGTGTCCTGGTCGGGCCTGGCCCAAGCTGCAGTTTGAATGTGCACAGTCTCCCGGGGGAGCTCACTGGCATCTGCATTTCCCAGGGGCCCAGGTGGGGCTGATGTGCCCACCCACACTCTGGGGTCACTACTGGCCACTACTGGGCCTCCATTCTGCCCTCTCAGAAAATCACAAACCTCCTCTGTGCAACACCTGTGCCATAGTCCTCCTATGATTATTATTAATGTATTTTAATTGACCCATAGAAATCGAACCCATTTATGGGGCACTGTGTATACCATCTATAAGGATCAGATCAGGGTGACTGGCCTGTCACCTCAGACACATCATTTCTTTGTGCTGGGAACATTCGAGATCCTCTCTATTAGCTGTTTTGAATTTCAGCTAATAGTCGTCAACTGGAGTGACCGGGCCAGCTGTACAATGTGGGCTGTGTTCCTCCTGTCAGCCGTCCCTGCCATGTGAATGTCCCTCTCCCCATCCTTCCTGTTCCACGTTGTTCTTCTTAACAGCTTTATTGAGGTATGATTGACAACAGTCAACTGTGTGTTTAAAGTATACAGTGTAATAAATTTTGATATATGTCAACACTCGTGAAACAATAAATGTGGGGAACCCAAACGTCACCCCCACAGTTTCCTCAATCCCTTTTGTAACGTCTTCCTTCCGCCTCAGCCCACCTACAGGCAAGCCGTCCTTCTGTTATTACGATTTTGTTTGCGTTTTCTAGAATTTGGTACATACAATCACATGGTACACACTTTGTTTCATCTGGCTTTCATCCAGGGCAATGATTTGAGGTCTGTCCCTGCTGCAGCGTGTATCCATAGTTGATTCCTCTGTGTGGTCAGTATTCTGCGGGGCAGACAGTCGTGGATGGTCGTGCGTTGCTCCCGGACAGGAATGTATTCTGAGATATATGTCGTCGGCTACTAGGTCAGTGTGCAAACAGCACAGAATGTGCTTACACAAAGGAAAAGGCTAGAATATCACTGGGCCATACACATCTTACAGGACCAGTGTCCTAAAGATTGTCCCTTGTTGACTGAACGTCATGAGTCCCTGAAAGATTTTGTCTACTACAAATAAAGCTACTGTGGCCTCTGACGTACAAGTCTTTATAGGGACGCACTGTTTGTCTTGATAAATACTCGGGAGTGGAACAGCTGGTTCATGAGGTGAGTACATATTTAACTTATTAAGAAGATGTGTCACTGATTTCCAAAACTCTTGAGCCAATTTACGTTCCCATCAGCAGAACTTGGGAATGCAGTTGTTCCTCATCCTCACCAACGTGCCATACGGCCCAGGCTGAGTTCCGAGGATCTGAAAGGCGTGCAGTGGATTCTCGGGTTTTAACGGTCCTGGCTGCTGACGTCTTCTCAGGGGTGATTTGACACGTCTCTACCTAGCGCCACCTCTCGGTGTCCACCCACATCTGTCCTCTTTGGTGAGGTGTCCCTTCCAGATCTCTCGGCCAGGTTGCTCTCTGACCTCGCAGGAGAGTTCTGTGGTCTCAGTGCTCTTCCGGGCGCTCACACAGGCGCTTTGTGAGTCGCTTTTCCCAGATTGTGGCCTTTTTCAGTCTTTCTCAAATGTTCTTCAAAGACCAGAAGATCTCGGTTTTGCAGAAGTCCAGGTCATCCGTCTTAACGCTTCCGCGCACCTGGCTTCAGGCGATGTCACCTCAGTAACGTTCCTCTGCCCCAGCGCCTGGCGCCAGGCCTTCTGCCCTCCTTACTCCAGGGGCGAAGCGGAGGAGCAGGAAGAGGGTGGCCAGCAGGCTGAGGGACACTGGCCCTCAGTGGGGGCTGCCTAAGCAGCCCCCAGGGAGAAGAAGCTGAGGGGACCCAGCGCCTCTCCCTGCTCCCCACCGGCTCCTCCCAGGGACCTCAGGTCTTCCAGGGAGGACGGGACCTGCCCGTGGTCTTGGTGAAGGAGACAGGTCTGGGCCTCCGGAGGAGCAGCCTCCCACCTTCGCAGGCTCCAAGGCCCGAGGGTGACTGGGAGGGAGCTCCGGGTGCCCCTGTGCCCTCCAGGGCGAGGCGGGCAGACTGTGGGGAGAGGGAGGAGACAGAAAACCATCACGCCATCAGCCAGGAATCTTACTCCCGGGTGACAAAAACCACAAATGAGAAGCTCTTGGCTCCTGAACCCAACCAGAGGACAGTGGCACCCGTGCTCACGGTTAATGCCGATTTCTTAGAGCTGCCGTGACTGATTGCCACCAGCTTAGGGGCTTAAAGCCACCCAGACGTATCAGCTCAAGCTGGTCAGGAGTCAGGCTGCTCAGGATTTTACAGGGTGGAAGCTGAGGTGTGGGCCAGGGGACAACCCACCTCACACCCCTCAGGGCGTGGGCAGAACCCGGTTCCTTGAGGCTGTAGGACTGAGGTTCCTATGCCCTTGGAGGTGGCTCCTGGAGCGGCAGGGAAGCCGTCTGCCACCCTGTCCCCTGACCTTGCTGCTCCCGAAGCTCTTCTGCTCCCAGTTAGGGGACGCACGGTTACATGCCCACTGGGCTAGACGGGCCGTTACGGCTCGGAACTGGAGTGTCCCTCACAGGCCCACGTGAAGGCTTCGTCCCCAAGGTGGCGGTGCTCAGAGGCGGGGCTTTGGGGAAGTGACTGGATCATGAGGGCGCTGCCCTCGTCAGTGGATGAATCCAGTGACAGATTCACAGCTGAAGGGACCATTGGGAGGCGGGGCCCAGCTGGAGGAAGTGGGTCCTTGGGGACGTGCCCTCGGGAACTGCCTCTTGTCCCTGCTCTCCCCTCCCCCCTCTGTCTCTCTCCCCCTCCCTCCTAGTCGGCTCTGCGCGTTCTTCCACCATGATGCTGTGCCTCATCTCAGGCCCCAAGCAGCAGTCAGCCGTCTATGAACTGAAACCTCTGAACCTGGGAGCCAGAATAATTTTTTCTCCTTCAGGTTGTTTTTCTCAAGCCAGGTACAGTGGCACACATCTGTAATCCCAGCTCCTCAGGAGGCTGAGGCAGGAGGATCACAAGTTGGAGGCCAACCTGGGTAATTTAGCAAGAACCTGTTTTTTAAAATTAAAAAATTTAAGAGGGCTAGGAATGTGCTGTACAACACCTCGGGGTTCAATCCTCAGTGCCATCAAAAAAAATGTGGTTTTCCTCAGGCATTTTGTCATAGTGTAGAAAAGTTGACTAACACAGGTCCCCAAATAATCCGCTTCAAGGTCTATGACCTTAATTTCATCTGTAAAGGCCCTTTCACTCTGCTACCTAACGCATTTACCAGACCCAAGGATGGCGTGGACATCTTTGAGGAAGGGGCATCAGTTGGCCACAGCAGAGCCTGTCACAGGATCCCAGCGCTGTGCCCACCCCTGTCCTCTGATGGGCTCTTCAGAACCCGCACACGCAGTAGGAGTGGCGTACCTGTGGCCTAGTCCCCAGAAGTGCGATGGCCAGAGACCAAATCCACTTCAAAGTCCCCAGGGAAGAGCCCCAGCTGGCCTGTACTGTGGACCAAGCACACCCGGGGGCGGGGGGTGGAGACTCTGAGACTGGCCAGCCTGGCGAGGAGCCACCCTGAGGCCCGCGGGCAGATTGGTGATGCAAGAAGGAGGAGGCCGGGTCAGGGTTCCCGTCGCAAGGTGCCCGCGGTGGCCCCTTCTCGGTGGCCTGGTGCTGTCTCAGCCACCCCCCTGTGATGGTGCAGGGTGGGGTCGTCGACCAGCTCGACCAGGACCAGGTCCAGACTCCCCCACTCACCAGCTGGCCCACCTCCCCTGGCCTCAGTGTTCTCCTCTCCACAGTGGGAACGGTCCTCCAGGCTGGGGAAGCAGATGGAGCGTGTGTGTGTGTGGAGGGCGGCTCAGCGCGCCCAGCCTTCGGAGGCTGGGAAGGACCTCCATGTCTCCACCCAGCCCTCAGTGGACTCCCGCTCTGGGCAGCCGGGGGCCAAAGTCGTCCATCCGGGAGCAGTGGGAACGGGGCTGCCCAGAATGCACCTGGCCAGCTCTGGTGGTGAAAAGACAGCCATTCAGGGCTGGCTTGGACCAGAGCCGGGTGACGAGAGACAGGGAGGCCTGTGCTCCAGGAGGAAGGGGCCTGGCGTGGCCTCAGTGTGGGCCAGCACAGCCCGGGAGGGGGGAGGGAAGACTGCACTAGTGTTTGAGGCCGAGGGGCTGAAAGGCGGCTGTGTGTCCCCGCTGGCTGCCTGGCGGGTGGAGATGTGAGTCACTGGTGTCCGGGAGGGGAGGGTGCAGCCTGGGCGCAGCTGCCCAGGACGAGGGGCCCACTGCCCCCTCAAGTGAATATGTGTCAGTGTGAGCCTGGACGGGTGGGGCAGGCCCTGCAGAGCTGTCTGGACCGCCCAGGGCTCCCTGGGCTGGGCACACCCCGCCATCTGCTGACTGTGGCCACGGGGACAGCAGGAGACCCCACAGGCAGGGCACCCTGGCTCTTCACCCACCCGCCCCCTGGTGGTGCGGCCCACCGGGACAACAGGACCACCAGGTGGAGGAGGGGTGCAGGGGGATACGCCCAGGCAGGGGGCACCCAGCCCCAGGGAGGGGACATTGGAGGTGGGGCTTGAAAGGAGAGCATCTGGGCAGCGGGAAGCCAGGTCCTGGTGAGGGGGGAAGGCCAGGTGCCGGAGCCACGGCGGGCAGACGAAGGCCGCGAAGGCTGTGGGCAAGGCCCAGAGTCCTGAAGACCTGGGGACCTGGGGGTCAAAAGAGGCTGCTCAGGGACCAGCAGGGGCTGGCCAGGCAGGGTTTCAGTGTCAGCAGATGAGGTGGTGAGGAGGGCCCTCCTGTCTGGGAGAGGCGCGTGTGTGTGTGTGTGTGTGTGTGTGTGTGTGTGTGTGTCTTACTGGGTGAGTGTGCATCTCAGGGGTGTATGTGTGCATGCTCGTGAGTGCTGTATCTATCTGCATGTGCAGACTCCGTGTGGGTGTCTGGACCTGTGTGTATAGGAGTAGTTGTGTCTCTGCAAGTGCTGCTACCTGTGTGTGCGTGTCCCTGAGTGTGTGTAGATGTGTTCCCACTAACACCCCTCCCAACAGGAGGCGGGGGTGCACCCAGATGCGGGGGCCAGTGCCGATACTCCCCATGTGCTCCTTGGCCCTCCTGCCCCAGAGGTCTCCTGCCCCAGAGGCCTCCCGCCCCAGTCCTGGGCCTCACTGAACTCTGGCCTCTCTGCCCAGCTTCCCCCTTACTTGATGCCCTCCAAGAGGACTCAGGCCAGCAAGCCCCAACCTGCCTGCAGGCGGGGCATGGCCCCCGGGGCATGGCCCCCGGGCAACTGGGAAGCTACTGTCTCCCCAGCACAGCCGCCTTGGCCCAGGAAGGGGCCCATGGCAGACAGGAGACGTGGAAAGTCCTTCCCTAAGATCTTGCATACGGAGGAGGGAAGAGCAAAAACCTCTTTCCCTGGGGCCCCCAAGTTGGAGGCCCCTCAAAACCTGCCTTGTCCCTCCTCATGGAAAGTCGGGAGGGTCCCACAGAGGGCCGCCCTTGGGGGTGCTTTCTGTCACCCGAGCTCACATTTCTTTTACTGAAGCAACTTTGAGTTGAGTTGTCACTGGCAGCCACCCCTGCTGAGCCACAAGCCTGGGCCTTCAGGTGCCGGGGCCCCATCATCCCCCTTGGCTCTCTGAGATCCTGCACAGAGCACGCACCGCCCTCCACCGCTCTTCTCAGGCTCCTAACCCACCCGGCCTCGGGCTGGCTCCTCTCTCTCTCTGGCCCCGTTTCCTCCAGGCCCTTCCCTCTTCTGTCTCCCTCTCCCCCAGACTTTCTGCTGGCCTTGCTCCAAGCGACCAAGAGGACTCCAGGCGAGCAAGCCCGAACCTGCCTGCACATGGGGCATGGCCCCAGGGCCACTGGGAAGCTACAGTCTCCCCAGCACAGCCGCCAGCGCAGCGGCAAGTCCTGGATCCACTGGGAGTACCCTCACCTCCTTAAAGGGAGGACCCACTCCCAGAGAAACGTACCCCTCTTTCCACCTCGACCCGTCTCCCTCAGCCCTGAATCCATCAGACCTGACCCCTGCAAGGGCAGCTAGTGTCTGGGGCACCAGTGGTGGGGGAGTGGGGGTGGGGGTGGACTCCGTCTGCCTGTGTGTGCTCCTCCAGTGCCGTTTGGGTGGTGCCCCTTTGACTGAGAAACCTTGGGGTCCCCCAGGCCCCCCGGGCTGCCCTGCACGATGGGTGGGAGCACACGTCCTCACCAGGAAGGAAATCAAGGCTCAGCCCCCATTTCCTAGCAGGGAGCACCAAGCAGACGTCCCACCACTGCCCCAGCCCGGGAGCCTCCTTCTTGGTCAGGGCAGATTCCAGGACGCACCGACAATGACCAGCTAAGCCGCATGGCATGGCCCCGTCATGATGGGGGTGGGTGCCAAGCCCAACCTGAGAAAGTTCTAGGCCAAGGGCACTGCTCCAGAAGGCTGCTGAGCTCGCCCAGCACGGCAGTACTTCTCTAGCGACACATCTCTAGCGACACTCTTTCCGCTGAAGAACAGCAATTTGTGTGTGTGTGTGTGTGTGTATGTGTGTGTGTGTGTGTGTGTACTGGGAATTGAACTCAAGGTTATTTTACCTCTGAGCCACACCCCCAATGCTTTTTATTTTTTATTTTGAGACAGGGTCTTGCTAAGTAACTGAGGCCAGCCTCAATCTTGTGTTCCTCCTGCCTCAGTCTCCCAAGTTGCTAGATGTGGAAAGCAGGCTGTGCCCAGCTCTGAGTTACTCTTCCATGTATGGAACAGCTGATTTCAAACTGTCCTAAACCTTTGTCACTCCGTAGTTTGCTGTGAGCTGATCCATGCTGAGTTGAAGTACTGTGGTGGAACTTTGTCAAAACCATCTGCCTGTCAAAACCAGAAGGTACAAGCTGATAAATCAATCAATCATGCTAATAAGAATGACCACCCGGGACAGTCAGGCACAGTGGCACACACCTGCAATCTGAGGAACTCAGGAGGCTGAGGTAGGCGTATTACAAGTTCAAGGTCAGCCTGGACGACTGAGCAAGACCCTGCCTCAAAATTAAAACATAAAGGATGAAAACCCATGACCTTATCAGCTTAATCAGAAGCACACAGCGGCATGGGCACATCAAACTGCTATTAGGAAAACCAGGCCCACGAGTCTATCGAACACACCTGACCACTGAATGAAACAACCCTGTTACTTGAGGCCCATAAAATTAGGGGCACCCCAAGACTGAACACAGCAGCACCCTGACCCAATCACCTGGTCACTCATCATTAGCCTTCCCTAGGAAAATAGCCACAGCAATGGACCTCTGAATCTCTATCCTCAGTTTCTCCTGCATCTGACAATCATGGAAGTCCCACTCCAAGCTGACCTCTCAAGCTCACTCCAAACTGAACCATTAAATTACCATCAATCAGGATCTTTGCCTAGAATAATTCCCGTACTTTGACCCCTCTGTGCCCTGAACAAGTTCTTCTGGCTGGAAGCTGGAAGCACTGCCCACCTACAGTGACTCTGCGTCCACACCCGCTCCCTGCCCGGGCTCTCCGCCCAGCCTCCTGCGCCCGGTGCTGCCATGCCTCTCCTAACCTTTCTGTGCGTGATGTATAGTGTGCAGCGTGACGTGTGACCTGGGTGTTAGAGACCTTAGAATTCAAGATGGGAATAAAAGAACCTGTGATTGTCCTGTGGGTGACAGCTGGGTCACCCATGAGTACCTGTGAATTTAGTGCTATTCGATAAATTCTGACATTTTGGAAAGACACAAATGTGTTTGGTCTACGTTAATGACACAGCTCACTCTTGACACCGGGATTACAGGCGTGTGCCACTGCACCCACCTAAGAACGGCAATTTCTTGTCACTGGTGCTTGTCCGCAGACCCTCCACTGTGAGTGTAGATGGCAGTGGCTGCCTGGGGGTCCATTTCTGCTCAGGGTCTTTCAAATACTGAAGTAAATCCACACGTGGAAGAACTTCACACTGTCGCAGTGAAGCCAGCACAGCAGGCAGAGCTCTCTACCCAGTGGCCACCCGAGCTCCTGGCACCAGCTGTTGACCTCTCTCCAAGGGGCCTAGGGCTCCTCAGATTCTGCTTTTGGGTTCCCTGTGGCCCAAGATCCCCACTTGGTCCCACTACTCATGGAGCCCTGGCAGGCGATGTCTCCCCACTCCTGCAGGGCCCTGTTTCTGCTGTGGTCACTGAGGGTCTAGATTCCCAGCAAGTGCGGGGAGGGCGTGGAGAGGGGGAACGGGCAGCAGGGCGCACGGCCCCCTCTTGGAGGTAAAGCTGCTCTGGAGGTCGATGTCTGAAGATCCTGAATTTGAGGCCAGCCTGGGCAACTAAGCAAGACTTTGTCTCAAAATTAAATGTAGTAAAGGCCAGGGGAAGGTAGCTCAGAGGCAGAACATTCCTGGGTTCAATCGCCAGTCCCACAGTAAAGGCAGGGAGAAAAGAGAGAGGGCTGGGCTGCAGCTCTGCGGCAGAGCTCTCCCTCTGCATGTGTGAGGCACTGTGTCTGATCCTCAGCACCACATAAAATAAACAAATAAAATAAAGGCAAGCTGTCCATCTACAACTAATTTTTTTTTATTTTAGAGACAGAGAGGTAATGGGGGAGGGGAGGAAGGGAAGGGATACTTCTTAGGGTCCTTCCACACCCCAGTTCACTGAATTAACCTCAGGGCAGCAAGCTAAAGGGCACAGAGTGACCCTGGGGCTTGAATTCCTGCTATTTCCTACCTGATTCCCTCTGCTGACCCCCGACCCACTGCCTCCTGGGACCAGCTTTATCTCCCCAGCCTCTTCCTTCACCCAGGGCATGTGGGGCAGGGGAGATTCCATCTGCAGACTGACCTTGCTTGACCACCTGCTATCTTGAGACAGTGCACAGAAATCTGATGGCCCTCAGGGCCGGATAGGTGGTATGAGCCAGACTGGGTGAGCCCAGGAGTGGAGGGGTGGGGGACTTGCTGTGCTTCTGGATAGGGATGGGTCCACGAAAACCCAAGGAGCCAGGCTCCCACACATCCCACCCACCCCACCCTCAGCGACCCATGTACCTAATTGCCATTCATTTCCCCATTCTGTGTTTGACCTACGCACAGAACACATAATCCCATGTGACAAACTGTCTCAATTGCCCAGCCTGCACTGGTGAACACCCCGCGGACTTCGGGCAGCTCCCCTGGTTACCACCTCCTTGAGCCCTTGTGGTTCTGGGGCATTGTGGGGTGAGCCAAGCATCAATGATAAAATTGTTACCAGCAGCTGTGTGTCGTGATGTTCATCATGTAGGGGACACTGGCCTGCACGCTTCCCATGCGTCATCTCACATAACTGCACTGGCAGGAAATTGAGGTCTCAAGGGGATAAGTCACCTGTCCCTAGAGACAGACAGGAAGTATAGGTCCCTGACCCCAACCCTGCTCTAGTCCCCAAACCTGAGCTCACAACCCCTTCCCAGGGACAGCTGTGTCCACCCTTCCCCTGGCACCTGAGGAGATCCCACAGCACTGGCGTGAGCGGCCAGGTGGGCCATTCTCAGCAGGGCCTCCCCCTTCTGCAAGGCCACACACTGCAAGGCAAACAGGGAGACTCCCAAAGCCTAGACGGCGAAACAAAGTGGGGATGGGTAGCCAGGGCAAAGCCGTGGTGAAGGGACAGGGGCTGCAGGGACCCGGAGCCGTGGGTAGCTCTCAGTGGCAGGCAGCCAGGCCAGGGGACCCACAGCTGCAGGCCAGGTTTTCCTCCTCTGCCGGTGCTTCAGAACCTGTCATCCAGTGTCCTCCTCTGGATTCTGCCTGGAAGGCTTTCACATTCCCTGATGAGAGCTTACCACACCCTGGAAATTCCTTTGTACCTTAAATTTTTATTCCCCTCCCAAGAAGCTCTTGAGCCTTAAGGAAAGGGTTGAAGAGACTCTTCACCCAGCCTCATAGGTTTGGGACCAGTGAGGGCACTCTGCCCTCCCTGTGTGCCTCTGGGCAGGAAGGTAGCTTCCTGTCATTGCTATCTCTGGGAGAAGGGACAGCCTCGGAACCAGGAGGCCTCCTGGCTACTAACCATGGGACCTCACTTACCTGACTTTGTCCTTTTTGCACCTCCATTTATTTTCTATAAGGTACCGGAAGCCCATAAAGTAAGTGAGCTATTCATGCCACATTGTGACCACTGAATGAATGTCATCGGCATTGAGGGGACACCTGAATTCCTCCATTTCAATTCTATGAGCACTTTGAAATTTTACTACATGCTCAGCTCTAGGAACCCATCAAGGAACAAGACCGAACCGACATCTGGCCAACGGCAGGCCAGGCTTTCCTGAGAAGGATTCTCCAAGTCAACTGGATGGGACATCACCCCAGAGCCTGGGCCTGAGCCAAGATGCCCACTCCCCAAGAGGAGGTGGTCCTGGCACACAAGCAAATTAATAAAGACTTGGGGACAAAAAGGATTTTACGGGAAATATTTGTTAATGGATGGAAAGAAAAGAAACTGGGCCCAGGCAAACAGGCCTTCTCTTGGTGGTGGGGGGTGGGAGTGGAGAAGGAGCTGGGCCTGGGCGGGGGCGGCCTCCTCTCCAGGTTAGCCAGGGGGCTCTGCTCCCAGCCCGGGGCCCTCTTTCCTCGCAGGCCCAGGCCCGGGGCTGGACTGCTGGGC